CCATCCCCAGCTCAGGGCTCAGAGCTGGGCACCTTTTCCTCTCACTTAGGCCTGAGACCCAGACATCCATCCCCAGCTCAGGGCTCAGAGTTGGGCACCTTTTCCTCTCACTTAGGCCTGAGACCCAGACACCCATCCCCAGCTCAGGGCTCAGAGCTGGACTCCACTCCCCATCATGCTCACGACAGGAGGCCCACAAGGAAGTCCATGTCCCAGAGTGGAGAACTTATGAAGGAGATGGACCAAAGAGGCCAAGGGGAATCCTATTTGAGGCCTTTGGAGACAAGGTAAGGACCCTCCAAAAACTTGACAGCGTTAAACACCCCCCCTTTTCTCTCAAGGGTTAGCTCTCACAGCAACTGGAGTAAGCTAGCTGGCTGGCCTGTAGGTCCCACTGGGATTCTCCCAAGGAGTTCCCAGCATGTCCCTGCACTGAGGAGAAAGACTGATTATGTCACGTGGGTGTTTCTGGTGAGTGAGAGAGGAATTAGGGGCACAGAGGGGGGGGGGACAACGGGGACGGGACAGCACTGGTGCCACACCAGAAGGGACAGGGAGAGGAGTGCAGAGGCGCAGGACGGGGTGAAGCACATGTGCACACCTAGGAACCACAGCTGTCTGTGCCCTCAGGAGCCAGGCAACTCCTAACACACAACTGATAACCTAGAACAAAGAGAATCTACCGGAAGCCATTGTGTACAAGCAAAGTATCCTGGGACGTTATTTGAAAATGGGGGAGGGGAACAAAAAGCAAAACAAGACAAATGAAAACCAGGGCAGCCTTCTCAGGAGACAGTGTCACGTGCTGCCGTGTGCACAGCACCCCACACCATGCCCACCCTCCTCACGATTCCCTGGGGACAGAGCTTGAGTATAAAGTGCCCACGCTACAGACATCCTCAGGGGTTGGGGCTACTTCTCCCTGCTCCTGGGACCCTGGAAAATAGTGAGACCCACTGCTGGAAATGAGTGAGTACCAAGGCACACACAGTGGTGGAGTTCTTCCTGTATCCAGCAATGGCGCTGCATGCGGCTTTCATTGCGCCCATGCAAGTCTGGAGAAACAGAACCTGAGAGAGAAGAGTAAGGGACTGAACTACGCCCAGCACCCATGATGGGCTGTGTGTGCTGTTTGGGGCCCAGGCTACTGCCCCCAGCCTCTGTGACAATTCTGGGACATGGCAACCCAAGCCACAGAATGACATTCTGGCCAAGCAGCTTCTGAATGGAAGGTCCTTGACCTCAGGTTCCTGTGCACTGTGGTAACTGCGACCTCCCTGTGATGTTCACACTGTCACCTGGACGGCTCTGGATGTGTCTGCCATGGGGTGGGTCTCTCCACTGGGTTAACTCAGGTGGAAATCAATGCTAAACGAGGGCCCTTGTCCCATGGGCTGGGGTCCTGGACTCAATAAAAAGGAGAAAGTGATGGACTGAGCGCCAGCGTTCATCTCTCTCCTTACCAACTGCGGACGCAAAACAACCACCAGTTCTGAGCTAAGCTTTCCCTACCGTTGTGGACTGCTCCCTCAAAGCTGTGAGCCAGAACAAGCCCTTCCTTCCCAGGGGCTTTTGGTAGTTACTCTATTATAGCAACAAGGACTTGCTAATACATCCCGCTCCTGGGGCTGCGCCCCTTGTCAGGCGTGATGACTAAAGCCCCCTCTCCCTCCCCAGCAGAAAAAAAGGCCAGCGTACCAGTGATGGTGCAGGCATCCCGGTACCCTCTGTAGCTGGGAGCATCTTCCACAGCCTCGCTCACATAGTACTCTTCAGGGATGCCCGGGCTGCAGGCTAGGACTGCATGGCTGCAAGCCTCAGAGATGGGTGCGGAGCTGGCCGAGGTGTCGTCGTGCAGGGCTGTGGCGTCCAGCTTGGCAGGTTTCAAGGGGAGGTGCCCACTGCCATCCGGGGGAGCCCCCGCTGCCGTAGTCAGGGGCAGTCAGGCAGATGGCCCCCGGGTGGTTCAGTGTACCAGTATGGTTAGCTCACAGGGAATCTGCGGAACAATCCAGAGAGAAGGGTACCATTACATGGGGTCTGTGAATACATCCAGACAAGATCTTTAAAATCAAGGCAGATGTGGTTAGCACTACAGAAATGGTTCACCAGCTGACCAGGCCTCAGTCCAGACCAGCATGGAGTCAACACTGAATTCATGGGCGGTATTAAAAAACAAACTGACCTCAGCTAGCAGGACACCGGCTGTCCTGAAAAGGAGAAGCCAGGCCAGGTACCAAGTCATGGTGGGAAGAGCACTGAGTGTACATTCTGAGAAAGGTGCACACAGCTGTGAAACGCCATATGATATGGTTGTCTTACATACGCTACAGATGATATGATGATTCTTTACACTCTTCTAAACACAACTGCACGAAGAACTCTAAGTCTGGCGGTCACCTTAAGCTACAGTGAGAAATGAGTGGACTCCTTTGAGAACCTGGTAAGTCCAGACCTTTTTTTAAAACAACAAAAAATGTATGAGCTCCTGGTCATGAACAATGGGTTAAGGCCCTTGGAAAGATGCCGCTGGGCCAATTCTCCAGGGCCCACTGCAGCAACATCAACCTCATTCGGCAATTCAGACTACCGCTGGAATCGGACTAGGGTCAAAGCCAAGTGCAGGAAAGGGGCCAGTGTAGGACGCGGCTGCCCTCTCTGTTTCAAGAGCAACCCTGCATGGGCACCTGCAAGGGCAGTGCTGGCCCCGAGAAGTTAGCCTTCCATTTAGTAAGGGTCCCTCACCTCCCCACCCACCTCTACACATATGACAGGTGTACATACATGCTCAAATACACACATGGCAAAAATGTCTAATGGGAGTGTGATGAATGAGGTCGACAAAACCGACTTTAGTGTCTGGAGAGATGGCTCAGGGGATCAGGTGCCTGCCTGCCCTTCAGGACCTGAGCTCAGATCCCCAGAACTCACGTAAAAGCCAGGCACAGCAGTCTGTGTGTGTAACCCCAGCATTTTTAGTGAAATGGAAGGGGGAAGAGGCTCACATGCCAGGCAGCCTAGTGTGCAGAGCAGAGAGCAACGAGCAAGGCGGGAGGCGGAGACAGACATCCAAGGCTGCCCTTTAACCTCCACCCCGTGCGTGCACACACACCTGCACAAGCACACATATACACAAAAGATCAAAAGGGATAGATATGCAGCTTAAGAGTGTGTACTGCTCTCCCCAACACCCATGCTGGGCAGGTCGCAACCTCCTGTAGCTCCAGCTCCAGGGGTCTGACATGGCCTCCACAGACGCGCAAACACACACACACACACACACACACACACACACACACACACACACTGCACACGAACTTACACAGGTGCACACACGTAAACAGGATTTAAATGGACAAACAGTACAGACTGGGAAGAGACACTTGTGCACACAGTGAGGAGACAGCAGCAGGAGGGAGAAGCCTGGAAGTCGGGTGCTTCTGCAGGATGACGCGTGAGCCCCAACTGGACCATCACACCTGGTCAGCCATGCTCGGTGTTGGGATGGAATTCTCTGGGGGAGGCTAGTGTGGGTGCTGCCCTGGCTGTCCTGAGCAGGAGGTGGCTTCCCCTGGGCCAGCTGTGTCCTGACTCTGGGTTGGAACACGGAGCGTAGTCAGAGACCATCTAACAAGTGGCACACGTCTGTGTACGTTTTCACACAAGTGGGGAAAAGGCTGAGCACCCAGACTTGGAACCTTTGTTAACTTGAAGTGATCCACAAACAGGTTAAAAGGCACACTGATGAGTTCCAGAAAAAACAAAACCAAACCAAAAACAAACAAAACAAAGAAAAAAAAAGCAAAAACAAAAACCTGAAGGCAGAGATTAAAAGGAACAAAATACAGAAAAGCACACTGGCATGTCACAATTTTTTAAGAGTTGTTTATTTCATGCGTATGAGTGTTTCGGCTGCCCGTCTCTCTGCACCACATTTATGCCTGGTACCTGAGGAGGCCAGAGGAAGGCATCAGATCCTCTGGAATGGCCATGTGGGTGCTGAGAATCAAACCTGGGTCCTCTGGAAGAGCAGCCAGTGTTCTTAGTGAGCTTCCCTCATTCCC